TGTACAGCATTTAGAAGCTCAGAGGAAAATTCAACATCATGCAGACTCTGAGCTATTGGGTTTTTCACCCCTAGAGATGGAAACATGGCACGTACAAGCTGAGGAGCCGAGGGAAGCTCTCCAGCAATATCCAGCCTGGAGACTGGTCCAAACCTCTGGAGTTTTCAAGAAAATATCAGACCAGAAATCTCACAGGAATGAGCTGGCTCTGGAGAATTCTGGCAATTCCTTCTCCTGACCCCACCCAAAGCTGAAAAACAGCCACAAAAGCAAATCTTTTCCACACAATTTTCCAGTATCACGATGTAAAGAGTTAGAGTCAGTCCCTGCTTCATCTAAACAGCTCTTCCCATCTGAAGCTTGCAAGGACACATATCAGCTGAACTGTGACAGTCACAGCATTGCTCTGATTTTAAATCCACATGGAAACTCAAAGTTTGATCCTCTGTGTTTCTGCAATGCTTCCTTCACTAAAGGCCAATTGCTCTTGGCTAGCACAGAGGCAGTTTCTTCCATTAACCTTTCCTCAAGCCAAAGCACTCTGGGTGTAAGCAACACTGAGCTCCTGAGACAATGATTGCCAGAGAAATACCTATCACGAGAGTGGAATCCAAGAGCTTTCTCTAAGCAGCTGCCTTGTCTCTCCTTGACATCTTTGCAGTCTTTGAATGCTTCCTGCACAAGCCATTCCACCCTTCAACACTTTTTCCAGGAAAGCACACACAATTCCAGGAACCCCACGCCTCAGGTGAATAAATAGCAATGACAAAAGCAACTTTCTACTGGCAAGGCAGGAGCCAATGTTGAAACTTGGAGTCTCTATACACAGATGCAGTAAAGGCTTTCATGAAGGCCAGTATTTCCCAAGGAAATCAAATATCAATGCATGGTTTGGACAGGAGATCTTCTGGAAAGAGTAATGAATGTGTCTAACCCTGTACACTCAGCAAAATCTGATCTCACAGCCTGAGATCATTTGTTGGCTTCAAGTCACATCTGGGAGTTACTCCTACCACAGTGGGAAGAGAAGTTGTTTCTAGGGATATCAAAGTTCCACTTCTAAACCTCCCTATAAACCAGGAGCTTTTGCCATTTAGCACTGCAGGTGCCCCCTCCCTTCCTTTCTGTTGTTTTGGGGTTTTTTTGCTAGATGAGGTTTGTGGTGGCCTCTAGTGGGATATGGAACAAATAGTATAAAGGGGAAAAAAGGAGCATGGCATGTACAGCCTCCCACCAAGCTGACCAGGCCTTTGGCTGTTCATCGCCGAATTCAGTGGGAGTTTGTTTTACCTGCCAGGAAAGGGTTGATCTCCATACCCTGAGCCACCAATCCAGATCACTTGCAGCATCAGGATGGGTCATCCTCTAAAGAAAAAACCTCAAACAATACAGCTTTTAAATGCCATTTTTTATGTTTCCCGATGTTGATCAAGCCCACAAGAATAATCTCCCTTGTCTTGTTTCAGCCCTTCTGCTTCCCCAGTCAAGGAGGTGGATGCAGGTTGTAACTGGATTTTTTTTGAGCCCCAAGAGAAGAGCTCAGGATCAGGCTGGGATCGTAGCAACCATTCCAAGCTGTTCCAGTGCTCCAGTTAACACAAGATCTTCTGACTTCAAGACACATGGACTGATTGGGAGCGAATATACTACTTACTACAATTCTAATACCTTCCTCCCCTCCATTCCCTAGTAAGCCCTCATGCTCACAAAAAACATTGGGTTATTTATTGTGCCGCTCCTCAGGATTATTCTAATATGGCTTTTCATCATGACCTTGCATGCTTTGGGCTTTTCACAAGCTCTTTATTGCACCGTGCAATTCCTCCTGGTGTAGAAGTTCTTCTGCACCTTGGCCAGTGGCCCTGCTTTGCTCTTGATCCAAAGGAGTTAATTGCCCAATGTTTAATGTTGCTTTTTTGTTTAAATGACATCATTACTAAAGTGCTATTTCGAATTATTGCTCTCCAGACCTTCTTCATATCCTTTTGCAATCATCTCTTCCATAAAGTCACATACTAACCTGCTGCCAGGGTGGTGGTCTCATCTGTTAGTATCTTGTCTGAGACTGGAATGCCACTTACTCGCTTCTCATTACACCTTTGCTCTGTCTTCACACTCTAGCTAAAAAAAAAAAGGCCATAGGATCTAGTTTAAAGTTTCATTTTCTTACTAACATTTGCTAACAGCTACATAAAAAAAAAAGTCTGTGTACTGAGTTTCCTCCACATGACATAAGCCTCATGGATTTCTGGGCCAGAACTGAAAAGCTGTTTGAAAACTTCTGTTTGATCATAAATCGATCCCAATAATTTCCTTTTTAGTAAAACCAGCCCCAGTTCAGAGTTTCCAGCCTCCATGATGGGCCCATAGTGTTGCTTCTGCAACGTGACTCTCCAATGGAACCACTTGATAACTGCTGGTCTGCATGACTCCAGAGGGAACAGACTGGAAGGACTCCTTATCCCTCCATCTCTTCATAGCTCTTCCAGCACTCTTCCATTTATTTACTGGCTGTCACACTGGCTGCCTTCCCCAGTGGGAACCCTGCCTCCTCACACAACACATGGAAAGCCAAAAGCAAAGGCTCGCTGGGCAGTTAGTTTGGAAGTGCTGCTGAAAGCATGACAATCAGACCCAGAGAAGGTCCTGAGGCTTTACCATGTAGCTTTGGTAGCTGCTGCTACTAAGGGAGGTCAGTGGGTCCTAAATAATCCAGTCTGAGGAAGTCTCAGTAACCAGCACTACCAGGCTGGGGTGGGAGAATCACCCCACCTCTGCCCTGGCTTAGCAGCTGAGGAGCAGGCAATGAAACCATACATTGACAGGGAAATCAATAACCCTTAGCAAAGGAACTCCATGAAACACTCCTTAACAACAACTCAAGAGTGGCAAACTTCATTTTATGCAAGTAGGAGCAAATCCACTGTATTTTAAGCCCACAGTGTTTAGGAAGTAGGTATAATTAACAGAAACCTCCACTCTCAGGAGTACACTGTCCAGATCTTTTCATATGCCATTTGATGAAACTCCACCAGTGGCCTGGGTACATTTCCAAGGAACTCCTGACTTCTGGGAAGGCATTACAAAGCTGCTCTGTAACCATTGATGACCTGCACTCAGTACTGGCTTGGTTCCTCTTCAAATCCACAACATTCTGCAAAGAAAACATTCTTTCCACTTCAAGCAAGCTTCTCCATCCTGAAACCAGTCTGGTTCAGGCACCCAAGCTCTTCCTGCCCTGCACTCACCCTAGACATCAGAAATAGAGACTTTCTAATGGAAGGGCTTCCATGACAGCAAAATAACTGCAACACCTAATACATCTGGTCTTCTCAATTCTAGATCTGGCTTTTCTTCAGGCAAGAAATAAAGGAGAAGCAACTGTTAATATTACTAACCTTACCTATAGCTGCCACTATGAAAGTGCTTACACTTACTGTTTTCTGAACCTTTGATATCTGCAATGAAAGGAGAAGGCCTTGCTGGCAAATGCTGTACTTCACATCAAAAGGACCTGAGATACCCATGAAAAAGCCAGAGGGAATAGTTCTTGAGAGCTGGAGACCTGAAAATCAAATGGTTCATGTTCCAGGACAAGGACCTTCATGGATGCAGGTGTTTAGCCCAGCAGGAGTCTGAACCACTCCTGCGAGTCATGTAGCCACCTTATATGGCTGAACACACATTCTTACATGTGTGTTTAGATACCCCCCAGCAAAACCCAAAGGGCAATACACCTCATTATGGGATGGCTTGCATTATTCCATTTTTAAACAAGTGCCAAACAAACAGACCTCTCCCACAGCAGGAACAAGGAATTACTTGGAAGGATTCACTTTCTACGTAGAGAATGCAAGCATGTTATTCACTTAAAGAAAAAGCAAAGAAAAAGGCAGGGTTGGACTCCAAAAATACTGGTTTTCAAGTGATTTGTTCTCTTAAGATATTCTTTACAAAAATAACCGCCTATTTAACCCTGTGTGTGCCACCTTCCCCCAAGATTAAAAACATGTCTTGTGAAGCAGGAATGCTTTGAGAAGAAAGCAAGCTTCTACCACATCAGAAGTTGTGTTGCTAAAACTTAAAAGTATTTCTAAATTTAAATAAGCCTCTAGGGACAACCTGAAAGCTCACCACTCTCCTATTTTCCCCACTAAACCAGAGGGAGGAACACTACTCCATGAGATCCAAACACACATCAAACCCTTTGTGAAGCACTGGATTTTACATTACACTGAAATAACCTCAGTGCTTCTCCATCTGCCCAGGAGAACTGCCAGAAATTAAAACAAAGGAACATGTACACTCTTTGTAGTCAATCAAGGGCTTCAATAGCTGGTTTTACGCTCAGATACAATGACATCTGTTTTGAAGAAGCCCAGTTTAAAGAAACTTTGATGCCCCTTTAGAAACTGAGGATTTTTAACAAGTCTGCTCCTTACAGAACTCCTACCCAAGACAGATTTAATAGGTAACAGATACTCTTAAATATGTTCTTGAATGTATCCATCAATTCCATCAATTTTATTTCTTGGAGTTTAGAAACCATGCCTTTTTGCTAGCATGGTTTGCTTTTAACTTCTGTGGCCAGTTAAACAGATCACTCCACACAGCACTTTTGCAACCAGAAACCTTCAGAAAGCCAGAAGCTTTGTTCATAAAAAGACTTTTCCCCTACATGAGTTCCTTGAATTGAGTCTGTGCTAACGTGGCATTGTTTAGGATGAACACACACTTCAGCTATTTTCAAGGAGTGGGTGTTAGAAAGGATTTTAATACATTTTGAAAGGAAGGGTTTCAAATTTAATACTGAAATAAAATAGTTTGAATTAGTATTTTAATATTAAATTACCTTTTCACATTTTATTAGCCTTTTAGTATCCACTTAACTTAGACAGTGAAAGAAAACGGGTTTATAGCATAAAGTTTATAGGTAGTTTCATTTACTGGCTTTCATCTCTTATCAGTTTATGTCACTCATCAAAATAATATCTAAGTACCTTCTTCATTCAGGATCACTGAAGAAATGTCAAGATCTTTTCCTCCTTTTCCTTCACTATTTTAAGTTCCCAATCCATGACTTGTTTCAGTAATATTTTTTATAGCCACAACTGAACCTGCAGGGAAGGCAGCTGAAACAGAAATATTACACAATTTGAAGGACAAAAGCATTGAGATTCCCCTGATAATGAGCAATAGCCCTTTGCTGTGAATTTTCTATACTACATTACTCACACTCCTGAAGTTAAAGCTGGGCTGCATTCACTGCTGCACACATGCTTCTGCATCTTGGAGAAATCCTTACTTTTTTCTGATATGCCTTTTTTTTTGTATGTGTGAAAACAGTCTGTGCATTAAACTGGGCTTTCAAAAATGACCATTCAATCTAATAGCACTTACCAAGAGCTTCGACTGCAGTTCAAATACCCAGCACAGAAATGTGGTAACACTGAAGTCCATAGTTATTTCAAAAGAAGGCATTTTTCCCATCTTACTCACAACAGCCTTTCTCCCAGTATTACTGTTTGGATCCCAAACAGCAGCATGCCCAAGTAGCAACGCCTCTGTCTCACCAGGACTGGAAACAAAGCTTTACTGACATTGGGGATTAATCAACTGCATATCCTTAAACACGCATGCTGCATTACTTCCAATCTAGTGCACATTGAGACCATGCTTTTTAATTCCACAAGAGCCCAATAAACCCTTCAATGTTTACTTAAGGGGATTTCATGGTGCTTTTGTTTCATGGAGGCATTCAGATGAGCTCTGATCTTACAACATCTGCATCATCAGCCATTCATTTGTGAAAACTAAACCCACAAAACTAGCTCCATACCCCTCTCCTGCACATGCCTGCTGAATGCTGCAAGGTTTGTTACTCCAGTCTTAGAGATGGAACTAAAATACAACCAGCCCAACCTCTCTGTCCCAGCACTACTACACATTAAAATAGGAAAATGCTGAGGGAAGATACAAAGTTCTGGGAAAAGCGCCATTACAGCTATTAATGCTTATTATCACATTTTATAACGCCTATAAAGCTTTTTAAGGATTCTATGGGATGAAGGAAGCTATAGAAACGTTATGATCCCAGAAGATCTTCCTAAACAAAAGGAAAACGCATGTTGCTGCGAACCTGCGTCAAGCTGCTCCGTTGGCATCCTTTCCCAGCGCTGCATTAGCTTTCCCTCTATGTCCCTCTTGTGGTAACCGGGAAGAACTGTACCAGCTGCAGTGGAATAATTCACAGCCTGCAACGGTTTCTGCTTTGTTGCTGTGGTTTTGGTGCATTAGTTTTTATTAAAAAAAAAAAAAAAAAAAAAAAAAGTCTTTTTTTTTTTTTTTTGCGGTATTGTCAGTGTAGAGGGGGGGAGTTTTCCTTTAAAGCAAAACCAAACAACAACAGGTATTTTTTGGTCTTCCATTGGCTATTAAATTGGAATTTTCACTTGAAGATTTGTTTCAGGGAAGAGGTAAAATGAAACCCAGAATGAGACAGGAAATGAAGAATTTTAAAGCACTATGAACTAAGCTGACCCTCCAACAAAAGAGCAGATAAGAAAGTGACCTGCATGGTTAACTGCATTGTTTTGTGCTATATTAACACACTGCTAATCACAGCGCTCCTAGACAAACACATCACCATGGAATGTGCAAGGAGTGGGTATTCCTTAAGCATTCTTGTCAAGAACATTTCATCTCTGTTTCATTCTCATTTTCTCCTAACCTGAATTCTTTTATCCCAGGATAAAAAAAAATACAGGTTTTTTTCCTGATCCAACATTGTCATTTGAAGTAGCAGCTTTGCAAAGACTCCTCACACTGGGTGTGATTGGTTCGGAACCCCCCACGTCATGATGACATTTCCCACCACTATCTCCATGGCTTGGAGTTTTCACAGACCAATCAGTTCATTCCCTTTGGTAAGAGCTTGTTTTCAGCCCTCTCCTGTGCAGTCCTGAGTGGAGGATGCTATCGAATCCCAATGCAGTGTGCCTTGGAATTGAAATGAGTTTCAAGGATAGTTCTCTGGCAAAAGCAAATTATTTTGAGTCAGAACTGTGTTATTTCTATCAACACCTAAACTGCTGTATGCACCAGTTTTACACTGACAACCCTCAAGAACCTTTATCATCACCTCTTCAAGAAAATCACCTGAAATTTCTTAGCTCTCAAGCAAGCAGAAAACATCCTTTTTTTAAAATTAAATTCACCCACATTTGCTCTCTTGGAGAGCTTCTTACAGCTAAGTCTGTCCTGCAAATCTAGCATCTAATTATGCATAAAAATGGTAAAGCAGCAACAGAATGTGTTCCAGTTTCCTGAAGTGTTACCTTTTTAAATTTCATACTGGCTGCACAGTAGAGCCCAATGAGTCAGAGCAGAGTGCCATCTCCGCAGCAGCCCAGCCTGAAGAGAGAAAACCTTCACGAAACACGGCTTACACAAAAAATACTGTCATGGGGCTTTCTAATGTAGCCTGCACATGGGTCTCCATGTTCAGCTTTAAAAGCCCCAAAGTGGTCCACAGAGCTTCCAGCATGCAGTGAACTACAATTAAGCAATAATATCATGAAATTCAAATGTACCCTCCTTTTGTACTGATATAAAGACTATTTGCAGTCTCCAGTTAAAACACAATGGCCACAACTAATCGCTGTTTCTATCCCTCATCAAAACAGATCAAAACCAACTGGAGGATTCCCACATGGACGCCCTGCTCCTGCATTTGCCCACCCCATGTGTGGGGATCCCTCGCAGCCCTCCAGCTTCAGCACCTCAGACAGCAGCACTACCATGTCCCCAGCGCAGCCACCGGGCCTCAGGACCTCAAATTCCCCTCCTGACAGCAGAGTGAAGTACAGACCTGCAGTTCTCAGCAAATTTTCCAAGCAGCCTCTCTTTAAAAGCATTGGTATTTTGTGGATTATGCAGGGGACAGGGAAAGAAACCCAGCAGCACATCAAACCCTTGATCGGTTTCCAGGGCTTTTGAGGATTCTGTAGACCAGCCAAATGCTGCAAGCACGTTGTGTTTATTAATAAATAAGTGCTCATACCAAGCAGCCTACCTGGCTTCAGAACTGTCTTCTTCAATTCTGCTTTCATCCTCAAGTAGGATTTCATATTTTCTCAGTTATGCTCTTCTCTGAACTACAAACCAGTTAATTTTCAGTTTGCTTAAAGCAAACCAGTTTAGTTCATCCATGGATGCTTTCCAGCCAAACTTTCAGAGGGTTTTAATTCAGTTGCTTTAGGAATCAAACTGCCTTGTAACACTGATGAACTTACGCATTGGTATACACTGAGTTGTCTTGATGTCACCATGTTACACTGGAGCTGATGTGACAGTCCTAACTCATCAAATTTCCATCACGCTTTTGATTTTAGCGGCTTGTTGGATTAACCTACTTTAATCTGAAGCCTGAATTAGGATACATTTATGATAAACTATTGGTACAGCCTATTCTTCCTCGAGGCTTAAAGCTAAAGATTAATTCAGGCAGTCTGTATGCAGAAGTGATGATTCCTGTGTTCTCTTTACTTGTTCTTTCCTCTCCTGTGCTTGGTGCACAGAATTCCTAAAACAAGGATGCTTTTCAATCTTCATCTAGATCTTTTCAGCTTAACAGCTGCAAATCTGGTACATGCTGTTTCAGATCCAGGCTTTATCCTACACCAAAGGAAAGAATAAAATTAATGTTACTTACAAAAGAAGACACATATTTGCATCTCATAGTTGAAGGCTTTAGTATGGAAGAGGGACTGAATATTGAGCCTTTCATATCAGTGTTTTTCACAACACACAAGTTATCTTTAAAGACGTTTGCTTCGTGCTGATAAAAGGATGTTGAAATGAGGGCATCCAAACCCAACACTTTGTATATATCTGGTCAGGGACATGTGCTGCTCACCTTCTCTGCCCTGACCTCAGAGGATTCCTGTGGCCAACTCCACTGCCCTCACCTCACAGCAACTCAGCTTTCTGACTACCACACTGTTGTATCAGGTATTACAGATATAATAGGTCTTACAGCTAGAGCAGCTGTAACACCAGATCCTCCTTAATCACCAAGTCTGCCTCAAAACACTTCCAGCCCGTGCACAGGTGCCTTGCCCAGACTATGTCACTGTTAGCCCAGACACTAAACACTCAAACAGGAATACGAGGCACGCAGGCCACAAAACAGGGGGATAAAGAGCCCCATGCTGTCTCCACAGACAACCACCACCATGCCTCCCCTCACACGGACCTGGTACCACCGCAGGGCTCCCACCAACACCACCGCAGCCGCAGGCCCAGGCCCATGCTCATCCACCTCCACCTCCACCTCCACCACCACCACAGCCTCCATAGCCCCACACGGGGCTCCCACCACCCCAGCTCTTGCCCTCGCCCCCCTCTACCACACGCAGCAGCTCCCACAGCCTCCCCCTCAGCCGCCTGCGACTCCAAGGTCCGCCCACCCTCCCTCCTCTCCTCGAGCACCCATTGGCTGCCACAGCCGTCAATCAGAGGCAGGCCCCGCCCCGGTCCGCGGTGGGGGGCTGTGTGGGTGGGTGGGGGACAGGGCCGCCCCCTCCCGCCCGCGGCGCGAGCCCCTTCGCGCCTTTTCCGCCGGAGCTCCGCCCCTTTCGCTTGCCCTCCCCAGGTGTGTACGTGTTACGTCACCCCTCCCACGCGCACGGGGCGTGCTGGCGTCGCCGCCGTCGTCCTCCGTGCGCTCCGCGTCACCGCTCCTGGCCTGGCGCGCGGTGGCAGCGGCCGGACCGTCCCGCTCGCAGCGCCTCGGGACTCGCTCCTCCCCCGGCGCCCGCCCGCCGCTTCGGCCGCTTCTGCCGCTTCTCTCCGCCGTTGGCTCCGGTCTCGAGGGACCGCCCGAGCCGAGGCGAGGGGGGTGGTGTGCGGCGGCGGGCTCGTTGTTGGCCGGCTCTCGCGCGCGCGGCCTGGTGCGCGCAGCGGATCCTGCCGCTCGCGTAGCGCGGCGCCCGGGCTCCCTGAGGTGAAGCTCGGGCGAAGAGAGGGGGGGGGCGGGCGGGTGGGGAAGAGCCGCTTCTCCTCACCGCCGCCGCCATGAGCGTGGAGGCGTACGGCCCCAGTTCGCAGACCCTCACCTTCCTGGACACCGAGGAGGCCGAGCTGCTCGGCGCCGACACGCAGGGATCCGAGTTCGAGTTCACCGACTTCACTCTTCCCAGCCAGACCCAAACCCCGCCCGGGCCCGGGCAGGCAGGGCCAGGACAGGGCCAAGGGCCCCCCGGAGCGGGGCAGGGACCGCCAGTTCCGATCGAAGCGCAGGTGAGCCCGGGGCCGGGGGTGTGTCGCGTGGGGGTGACGGGGGGGGGGGTCAGGGCGGCTCCGCCACCGGGAGTGTGGGGGGGAGTCCGGAAGGGGCGGGCGGGCCCGGCCCTGAGGCCGGCGAGAGGAAGCCCTGGGCGGGTTGCGGGGCTGGACGCTCTTTCCCCGGCAGCGCCGGACGGGGAAGTGGAAGCCGCGTGTGGCTGCGAGCTTGTCCCGCCGGAGGCAGGCCGCCCGCTGCCGGCCCAGCGCGGCCGGGAACGGGCCTGGCCCCGGGAGTGCGGGGACAGCGCCCTGAGGCAACCGGTTGTACGCTGGTAAAGCCGGCTGACTCCGTGGCTGTGTCGTGATAGTTGTGTTGCTCTTCGGTGTGATGTTGAAGTTAGAAACGCTTCGGGATGTTGCTTCCGATTCTTTTCCTCTGTAAAACAAGCGCAGCGATAGGTAGCATACGGTTACCAGAAGTTGGGTGCTGAGGAAATTCAGCATTGCTTCCTTTAATTTCTGTATTTCTGTGACTAAAAGCAAAATGTGCTTTTAGTGTTATTTTTATCGTGCCTTGCCACCTTTGCAGCTGCATGGTTGCTGGGCTGGTCTGTTTGGGTTTGCATGGGAGTGACAGTCGATACTGTCTGAGGTTTAAGTTCAGAGGCCTGGCTCCTTGTAGCTTAAAAAGAGGTGATTTTTGTTTTTTTTTCTAATATACCCTGTTGATATTTGCTGCATACATGTATTTATTTGACAGTTTGCAAAAGTGAAAGTAGTATATGCTACACATGAAGGCAATACCTGTCACTGCTGTACTGTGACTGTAGTAAAAACCAAAACCCTGAGGAATTCCTTCATTTTTTTTAAAAAAGTCGAACTGTTTTCCATTTAAAGACCATGGACTATTCTAAGTTTTGATGCATCCCCGTGTGGTCCTGTTATTGACAATTAAATGCATTTATCCATGTTTTAAAGTTGAAGTGCTTTAGGTAAGCTTTGAATCCTGAACCAAACACAGTTTGAGCAGGCTTGATTTTCCTTTTTCTTGCACAAGCTGATGTATCAGGGTCTGAAAAATCCAATTGTGGATAGAGAAGTGAGCAAATGGCAGAGGCCAATGTGTGCAGGTGCTGAGAGCCTGCAGGTGGTATTATCCCATCCTGGCTGTATTGGATTTATCCCAGGCTGAATTGAAGGAATTTCTTGTACTTAGCACACAGCCTGGGCGTAGCTGTTGTGCAGTGACTTGCTCTGGGTTAGTGTGTGCATAAGACAGACTCAGTGACGGGATCCCATGGACTGTTTAATTTCTGTTTACTTACAGCTTTTGCATTTGGCTTTGGTAGGCTTCATCCAGTTTGAGCATTGGAATAATAGTAGTAGTAAAACCTTGCCTGTGTACAGTTCGACTACACATCAGTTGATTAAAAAGGCAGTTTTATTAAATCTTTTTTTTTTTTTTTAAGCTTTAATGGGCTGTGATCATTCCAGATCTCACAATAGACATGTGGCCAGAAGAAGAAAAACCACCCTAAAATAAGCCTCATAAGCTAGAAGACCAGACAAGAGGATTAATTTGTCCTTCTGTCTAAACATGTTTGAAAAACCTTTGAAGTGAAAAGGGGTAGAAAAAATAGCTGGAGAGTACATTCAGGTACGGGTGTGTTTGTACCAATCCAGCCTGGCAAGAAGGGGCTTATTTATTACATTTTTAAAGCTGAGTGTGTTTATGATATTTACACACTCTTGCTGTCAGCCTGATCCCCATTTTGACTAGAAATATAAGTTTCAGGGAGGGTTGGGAGAGAACTATTGCAAGCAGATCTCAGAAGTGAGAGAAGTGTAATATCCTCCTGAGCTGAACCACAGCAAACCCTAGCTCCCTGGAGCTGTTCAGACTTGTACCTTGCAACGGTCTCAAGAGTGATAAGATCAGAAATGAAGTGTTTTTTAAAGATTCTGGGGGAAATTTTGTTGCCTTCAACAAATAATTTAAACTTGTTATGGCTTTTTGCAAGGGACGTGCTAAATAATAACTTCTAAGGCCCTGAAATTGATCACATTCATGTGTTGTCACTGTGATTATAAGTAAAGCTGCTTGAGTAAATAATGTGTATTTGAAACTGGTGAACATTGGACGAATGTACTTTTACTTTGCTGTTTCATACTCTGGTATCATTTTGATGTCCTAGAGTTTAAAAACATGAGTTGAGCAATTCAGAGCACCCGATTTCTTGAATAAAGTGATTAATTCAGACAGTCTATAAGAGCTTCCATTCCCAATGTACATTTAACTAATAGTTTGAGAGGATGTTGTTACAATTGATTAATGTCTGACTGACAAGAGCGAGCAGTCAGGAGCACAGAACCATGTCCACTGTGTTCTCTTCAGGAAACTCAATCTCCATTGTTTACATATGATTAAAATCAAACCTGAGAATTGATTTTTCTGAATATTTTAAGATCAATTCTGATTTCTGCCTAATTTTTTTCACTCTTCCAGGCAAGCACTTAGGGATGATGCTCAGAAGCAGTCATACTCAGTGGGTCAGTGCTGAGCAAGACACATGGTGTTGATGTGTTAGTTAAGCTGTTGCAGCAGTGGTTGAAAGAGGCTGGAGCAGCTATTAGAGTTGTGGTCTAGACCACGGGGGCTGGATTTAACTTCCAGTTCTAACAAAGACTTTTTGTCTCGGCGAAATAACCTTCTCCCTGTTGCTCAGGTCCCATCTGGAAATACAGTTTACTCCTCACTGTTTTGGAGGTGCTGTGGGAGTGACTTCTCCACAGTAGCCACTTCCTTATTTTGAAAGGGAAAGCAAGCAGTATAGGAGATTATAATAAGGTACAGTAAATAGTCTGTAGCTTTAATATAAAGAATCTACAAATAACAAATAGTTGGTTATTTGTGCAAGTCCAGAAGTGTGTATTTTTTTTTTCCTCAGGCATGAGAAGGAAATGACCTGAATATGGACAGTGTGACAGGGTGTCCTGCAGTGACTGCCATGTCAAAGGGCATTGCAGTCCTGGAGCAAGAGTATTCTTCTAGCAAAATACCTACTTAACTGCAGTTAGTTTTCTTGTTCCAGCTTGAATGCACCGCTTTAGAGCAGAACTATATCAAGTTGATGTAGCTGTGTTCACCTGGGGATGAGCTCCTGAAGCAGGTGGACTGTGTTAGTCAGAAGCACTAGGAGAAGCTGAGAGAGTTGCATTCTGTTACTAATGGTCTGGGGCCTTGCTTACACACAGTTGGAGGAAGCCACTACATAGTCTGGTTTACTGTTCTGTTACTCAGTTCTCTGGGCCTTTACTGTTGTTCCTTGACCAGTATTTTAGAGGCCAAAAAGGGAGCAGTGGAGTGAGCAGTACTTTGGTGATAGTTT